ATCCGTATACAATTTACTTACAGGGCCACGGCGGGAAAGAAATCTTTTAAATGCACCCATGAAGCCCGTTGTGCTTAGATCACCAACGAGTTGAGAGTTCTGACGCAAGATTGACATCAGCAAGTCGGGGCCAGCGTGAGAATTCAATTTATGGTCGTAATCAACCAATAAATTCATGATATGGTCTTTACGCGGTAAAACTATGGGGTGCCGTTGGTCGAAACTCAACTGCGAGTTAGACAAGCGTCCACCTACCCTGACGATTCCATCTTGTAAAAATGGCTTAAGACGTTGAAAGGCGCGACTACAAGTTCTATTCGATTGTAATCTTGTAATTTCATCGGAAAAATGTGCACGTTGAAGTTCACGTAATACTAACAACTCGGCATAGCTAATCTAGTAATCTAATCTAAGTAATCGGACGCTACGATATACGAACAAACACTACTTATCAACTTTTAAACTACAAAGGCTACACTGTAACAACAAAAAATGATTTAAATGTAACACAGCGTATTGCTGTGGCGCGGCTAAACTATACTATTTTATTTTTATTTTTATGGAACACTAACAAGCTAAACAAACACTAAGAAAATACTAATATATAATTCTATCAACGACAAACTAATATTTAAATAATAAAACTATCTAATCACAAGTATGCAATTTCTAAGCGACTAAACTATAATTATTAATAAGCGGTAAAACTATGCGATAAACGCTTCGGAACAACACTGCTTATGGCTTGTTGCTCGCGAAGCCCCACTTCCTCCCGCCAAGCAAGATTGGCCTCAGCAGGTCTATTCCGTAGCCTCCAGTGAGGCACGCTTTCTGTCGCAGTGGCTTGGCGTCTCCATGCGCCGCGACCGTGACCTCGATCCGCGCTACGCGCGCTTCCGCTAACGAGATCGATTCGAATCCCGGGTTGCGAAACACGTGCACTGAATATGTCACCTGACGGGTTGCGGGGCGATCTAATCTTGCTAATTTGGGCCTTGTTCGCGGTGTCGGTAAACCTAGCTCCAGTCGGCGTTCCCTTCGGCTGCGACGAAACTACAACAGGTTTACTAACAACAGACTCTAACGTCTTGTTTCTCGACCCTTCGCATAATTTATTACCCGAGCTAAGTAAAGGCGGGATGTTCCCCTCATCTATTTCCCGAAAATTGCGAGTCAATAATTCGGGAGGTTCGACAGCGACGGTGCAACAACAGGATGTTGCCGAAATATTATCCATGATAGGGGCGGAACCAACGATGACGTAGCCCAAGACGGTCTCCAGTGCGTAAGGCGCGGTATGCGAGGAGTTGCCCCTAACCTTATTGTGTAACAAAATATGACGGAAAAGCGATGCTCCTATGAGCATGTCTATATCTCCGGGAACGGCGTAAGTATCGTCTGCCAGAGTCAAATTTTCAAAATCAATCATTGCCGAGGTGTCGACCGAAACGGTTGGCAGACGCTCGGTGACTTTATCTACTACTTATACATTTATATTAAAGTTAATGTTACGATCTAGCCGAGAATAAAATTTCAAATTTATAGAGCCCTGGGTAATTTTATTAGTACCTCCGATGCCTTTGACTACGGGACATGAAGGTATCTTATTTATTAGCAATCCTAAACGCCGGCAACATTGGGTGCGTTTGGCAGAAAAAAGCGCTAGCAATCGCTTACAAGCGCTAAAATAGTTTTCGGCCAGGACACGATTGCTACTTCAGTAGCGCTGACACAATCCGCCATTTTGCTTATTTAATTTGTTTGTTTTGAAGTAGAGTTTATAAGTTGTTTTGTGCAATATTAGTTTTAATTAATATAATGACATGAATAAACATATACATGTTATTAAAAATTCACGATTGGTAAGTTTTTAATATGAATACGTTACAAACATATATTTAAATTAGGTTAGGTTCCCCGGTTAAAACTAACATCGTGTCCTGGAGGAAAATAGCTACTTACGATTTGACAGCGCTTACCGCTTACGATCGCCATTTTGCTTACAAGCGCTTGCTAGCGCTTTTTTCTGCCAAACGCACCCATTGTCGCGTTATAAGGCTACTTTGTGATCCGCTGTCTAGCAACGTACGGACACTTTGTTCGTTTCCACGCGAATCCCTAACTACGATACGGGCTGTACCCAGTAACATGGTGGAAGGAGACTGCGTTCCCGCATTCGACAGTGAGCACAGGGCGACTTCACCCGGTCGAACGCTAGAATCGTCGACTTTAGTATGTGTAGTTTCCTTGTCCGAATACGTTGCGACCTTCGAAATGTAATAACGTGTGATGTATGCTGGCGCACTTGTTACACATGGAACTAGAATTGCATTTAGCAACTAAATGTTTATCGCTTAGACAATTTAAACATAAGTTGTTTGTCTTTACTATTCTATAACGTTCGCTGGGTGAATGTTTACGAAAGGTCGCACAATTATACCAATTACCGTGTTTATTCTTACATGAACACAGGCGCTATGAGGCGATGTAGGCGCAGCAGTTACGTACGTCAGAGACCCAGCAGTCCTAGTTGATGAGATCTGTCTGTCTTGTTTGACATTCGAGGAGCGCTGTATCACTTTAATTTGATCTCGTACAAAGGATGCTAATGAGTCGAATGACGGCAACTCAGAGCTACGATGCTCCATTTCAAACGCACGCACGGTTTCCGAGTCTATTTTCTTTAAGGGGATATGGAGAAACACCACGTCCATAAGGTCATTAAATTTCAGGTTCTTGAGTGCGGCCACCGATGCTACAAATTTATCTAAAAACTGCTCTAAGCCAGTGATGTTCGCGAATGATATTGGAGCTTTAAGATCGAATATCTGGTCTAAATAGGAAGAGACTAACATTCGCTTATCTTCGTATTTGTTTTTAAGCGTTTCAAATATTAACAAATAATTGTTTGCTGTTGGTGTGTAGCCCGAACAAATGGACTGTGCCCTACCGCTCAATTTACTAATTAAGTAATACAATCTTTCAACGTCCGATCACGATAGATTATTATGTATAGTATTTTCAAAACTATTTATGAACAATTTTCTCCATTGAATACCGGAATATCTATGGGGGGCAATCTAAGTGATTCACGTGGGCGTGCCTGGATTTCTGGTTTTGCTTCGCTTTGGGCTGGAGATTGTAAGAGCTTTCCGTTCTTTTTACGCGACACAACATATCTTCAAATGATAGAAGTGGTTGATAGTTCACTGTATACTTAGGGTCGATTTGTAATTCTAAACTATTAATGTTGTCTAATATTTTTTCGTAATCCGATCGCAAAGAGTCCACCGTTTCGATTTCACATAAAAACGTTTCCCGCACTGAATCTACGTTAATATTTTTTATGTGATCACTTATATATTGTATACGTGAAAAGAGTACGTCCCTCTTGGCATAAAGAGTTCTAAGTTTAATTTCATTTCCACTAACTGCCATTTTAAATCACTGTAATTAATATTAGATTAATCACAAACAATCGTACGCTGCTGGAGGATAGACACAATGTAATACAACTATATCTCACAACACACTATTGTCTTATCGTGCCGTATTACGTCGTTAAATTGAACACCTTTGCAATCAAACGAGATAACGCGCGTCGACTAGATCAGAATTTAAAGACTCGTATTATTTTTTACAAATAGTCGGTAGGCTAAATAAAATTAAGCGGATCCAAAACTATTAAAATAAATAAGTCAATTTACTTACGCGAATAAACTAACCAAATTTTAAATTTAAACTAAACAAAACTACATAAATCTATCCAATAATAAATTAGAGTGCATTGTCTAAGGAATTAGTCCAGCAGTTCGACTCGATGAGGCTACAAAGCACCAGTTCCAAATCCGCTCGAAGGACCAGAAAAATGGTTGGACGGCGGGCCTTAGGATTCCCGAGTTCGATTCCCCGGTTGAGCCTTGACCCTATTACGCGAGATGTTATACTAGATGGACTGTATACGCGGGAAACTTCTTCTGCCTCAACAAGATGGCGGATGTGGCACGCGGTTCCTTGACAATGCACTCGCTCTTCCGATATCTATTGCTTGCCAAGGTTATGAAGGAATCCTTACCGGGGTGTGACTTCGATGCGGCTTAGGCGCTTCCGTTGCTGTGGTGCAACTTCTGGGGCGCCCCAGAGATGCGATCCAGGCCAGTTGTGCGAAGGAAGAGAGCGGTACGCGACGATATCTCACACTATGTGAGGCGGTTACTTCTGGAGCTCGACTGCTCCAGGTGCGGTTCAGACTAGCGGCGCGAAGGCAAGAGAGCACTCGAGGGCAGCGCGCGAGCTTATATTGCTTCGGCTTTCCTATCAATGCATCTCGGTCGTGCGCGCTTCTCATTGGTCGAAAGAATCACGCCACCTTCTAGCCTCTCCTCTTTCCCCTCTCAGTGTGTTTACGGAAGGGACAATAGGTCAAAGGAAGGACACTTGGCACAATATACCCTCGAATAAAATTAAAATACACTAATCGTTTTCCGCGTAACCACATGCCAACCAAAAAATGGGAGCGTACAATATTCAATTCTTTAAAAAATCGATTATTTAGAGTTGGTAATCATTTACAGTTTGGTTTGAATAATACCAGAATAAATTAGAAACGGATAATTTAAAACACAAGATTTATCAGTTATATTATAGTTGTAGCACGAATGGGTCGGCTCGACCGGGAAAGACCACGCGCTCACAGAATAACAGCTTTATACTGCCGTGTTTCGTATGGTGAGTGTAAAGATTCGGAGACCCTTTTTTACTGGAAACCATCCATCTTAGTCCTCAGGGGTGACAAAGCATCTGCGTTTTGATTCTTAATTGATGATAAATGTTGTCTATGGGCAACAACATCCACTTACCTTCAGGTGCACTGTGTACTCGTTTGTCGCCCTTATTCAGTAAAAAAGGAGTTTGTATAATGTGCAAATAAATATTAGTATTGTTATTAAATTGAATTTTACGAATACTTTCTTAAATATATTATTATTTATTTTACTTAGCGGCGAGTACGACTACTATAGCCGGAGAAGACATAGTTTCTTCGACGAGTATCCCGACAGTGGATCTGACAACGGCTCCGATGATTCCATCTCCCTTACCAGTTCGGCCTCCGGTCATAGCTCTACCAGCAACGCTGCTTCGGTCAATGGTGAGATCGCAGTCGCCGCAGGTGTATCAAATACTGCAGGTATGGTAATATATGGCCCGCTGCATCATTTCTATACAAAGACATTTAAGTAGTAGTAACATATCAAACATATCAACAGTACTTACACAACTTTTACGTACAACTTGGCTAGTTTTTATATAGGAATTATATTATAGCCTTCGCAAGTTCTAAACCTGTTACTTGTCGTTTCTTATTTTATTATTCCGAAAATTTGGCTTGCTGGTAAAAACTAGCCATCGAACATGATAATTCGTGTATGAGAACTAGCCAAGTCAGACCTTAAGCTACAATATATTATCCTAAGTTATAAGAAGAAACTATATTTTATGTTGTTATAAATAAATTTCAGGGCTGACATTGAACGTAATTTGGATCTACTTCTTTTGGTGAACAAGGATATATATATATTGATTGGCTCTCATTTAATTTGTTTTTGTGAACGAAATATTTATTGAAATTTCTATATTTGTTTCTCTACAATTTACTAAATGCGTTTATCTAATCACATAATGTTTATACCTAAGAATTTAGTTATATAAGTTTTTTAATCGCATACTATAAACATACTTAAAAAATCATAACAAACAAAGACATTTAAGTAGTAGTAATAGACCGGACATCAGCAACAAAATTGTCGTCTGTAACTTTTTTCTTATAAGGATATATCTCCGATTTTTGTCAACAATGTGAATTTACCAAATAATCTTTAAATTTTATTATTTCCAGTAGATTGTTCTAGAAGAAAGAAAAATTATTATAATAAGTGTTCTCTGTTATCCAGTAACATCACTATTTATTTACAAATATGTTAGTGATTGACGTGCCTAAAACGGATTTTTACTTTATGTTTAGTAGCGTCACCTAACGGGAAATAGCTAAAATGTTTTCTAAATGAATATTCAGAGTAGTATTGCTATTTTTCGCTAGAGGGTTAACACACGCACGCGCTCACACTTTTTGTATGTAAATGTTCCCAATGACCGCTCTAAATATATATATTTAAATCTCTTTGTTTCTATAACTTTTGCTATTCGTATGTCCATTTTTCCTATTTTTGCGTAAAATCGATTGCAACAGCCTTTTGTATCTTTATTGTTTAGTTTTTAGAATAGTTAAAAAATATATTTAACTTATATATATATATATATATATGTTCCTGTAATATACAAATTATTAAACAGTTCGTCGAAAGTTTTAGGAGCCAGTGCAATGGCTGCACTGCTGTGTTCCGGACATCCTAGTCCTCATAGGTGATAACGCATCTGTAGCCTTTTTTGAGTTTACATCAGGTGCCTATTATTGACTGCAGTAAATACTTTTTTTATAGAATAAGGGTACCAAACTAGCACACAGTCCTCCCTGATAGAAAGTTAAATGCTGTAGCCCACATCTACATTTATTCTCTATTAAGAATCAAAATACAGGTGCATTGTCACCCCCGAGGGCTAAGATGGAATGCCTCGTTTCCAGTAAAAAAGGTCTCCGGCCCTCTACACTCACCATACGAAACACAGCAGAATTACATTTTATTAGCTTGGCAAAGGACATTGACCCTTATTTTTGGCAACAATGCAAGTGCAACACGCAACTGTTTTTTTTTTAACAATTTGTTTACTATTATATTTTGGAAATGATGTAAAATTGCGTTTCGCATCTTAATTGCATACAAACGCACAAATACCAGGTTATTTGTGCTACTTTTTCAATTTCTTTGCTAAGATTTTAATTTCATTAGAAAATTCGCCTAGTTTCTAATCGTTATACTTCTGTCTTTAGAGGAAAGATAAAATAAATGTGTAAAAGATAACGGTGAGTATTTTATCTTGAATCTAAAAGGTAAATTGAAAACGATTAATTGCTTTATTTATTATTTGAAGAAAGATAAATGATGATGATCCTTTGATGCCTTTTGTCACCTTGAGGGCTTTGAAACTTGTGGTTCTAAATGAAACATGCTGAGCCATTTTTGAAAAGGACAAAAAACAATAACCAAGTTACAAACTCTTTTTCCAAAGTACTAAAATTATTTTTAACTTAAATTAGTAAATGGTCTATAAAATATCTCTATAAAATAGTTCCATTGGCTTGTTTCATTCATCATTTGGTTGTTATCATATAGTACGTGAGGGAAATATGGTCTTCCGGTTAATATGATCACTTTCTTTTAACTCAAAAACTACAGCCTTGTTTGCATTAAAGTTGTTCAAAACGACTATAAATCAACAGCACGCTACAGACTATAAACTAGAAATTTCTAGCGCGCTATTAAATACGCTATGTTATAGCGCGCTATTTATAAAAAAGTGTGTAGGAGGTCGGCAAGCGCCAAATAGCGCCAAAGCGTCATAGCGTCATAGCGTCATGGCGACTACTTACATAGCACGCGCTACGCGTTATGAAGAGATAGCGCGCTATAATATGGCGCTATGCGTTATATTAACCACCATTAGTTTGCATAGATGGTTTCGTAATACGATAGCTCTTCATCAGCCAATCAAATAATTAAGAGTCAAAAAGGCGCTGCTTTATCGACGCTATTTTGACAGTTGACATTATAGTATATAATTTAGTCGATTTTATATGGTGTAGTGTAATTAGTTTTTAAGTCGATTTTTCGAAGTGTTTCTAATTATTGTCAAATCTTGTTTGCTATTTTTTTCTTAATATATTAGTTATAGTATACGACATTGTGTTTTTTCTCTGTCCTCCTCCTAGTTTTGGTTTTATATGGCGGCAAAGGTTAAGGTAACGATATTACCCTCGCCTTTGTAGAAAGATTTCTAAGAAATCAGGTCTCATAAACATCCATCGTTCCACTCTAAGAAGTGACCATTGGCCATCCAATGTTCTACATGTTAATAACTGACTATTTTATCAATCGTTGTCATTTATTATATTTTCATTCGTACAGAGGCCAGGAGCCAACGTGGCATCGTCCGCGGCACCCCGGGTTCGTACTACGGAGGCTATGGCCGTTGCTTCCGCTGTGGTGCGCGCGGCCACTGGGCGCCCGGCTGCCCCTTCAAATGATTCATAAATTTTATTGCAAAATTTATTCTGTAATATTATGTAATTCAAAATAAATTACGATTTTGATTATAAAAAATACGTTTTATTTTATTTACTCTAATGTAATCCTTCATTAATAAACGTGGTTTAATTTAAATAATGAACAATGAACACATAAATATTTTTTGCATAACTACAGAATAAATTTAAAGAGTTATTTGAATACGATATATATAATCTAATAATAAAAATGTTTAGAACGCGTAGCTGTTGATTAGCTTATTGATTAGATTGTAAAACAACTTATAATAAAAAGTGTTTTTATTTATAGAAATAACAAATAATGGAATAAATACCACAAAATATTTTACTTTATTGCACTTTTTTATTTTTGGTACAAAACAAATAAATAGATCGTAAAAATAACACTGAATTATTTAACAGCTTTCATCTGTTGTTGACTGACTGCGAGTAATTCAAAATACTTTTTTTGTAGAATAATGGTGACAAACGAGCACACAGTCCACCTGACGGTAGATAGAAGCTGTGGCCCATAGAAATCTACATTTATCCTCGATTAAGAATCAAAACGCAGATGCGTTGTCAGTTGTCACCCCTGAGGACTAAGATTGAATGCCTCGTTTCCAGTAAAAAAGGTCTCCGAATCTCTGCACTCACTATACGAAACACAACAGTATTAAGCTACTATTTTACGCTGGTATTCTTTGAGAGCGTCGTCCTTCCCCGGTCGCGCCGACCTATTCGTGCTACAACCACAATATAGGTGCAGCGTGGCTCTACCACGTATACAAAGTAATTTACGAGATATACAGGAGAACGTATAAAGTATATTATTATGTTTCATGTGCCACGAGACGCACTCTTCCTAACAAAAGCTTGTCTTGACTATTGCCAACTGCCATGCTGCAGTTATATTAGTAGTACAGTCGTAGCACGAATGGGTCGGCTCGACCGGGGAAGGACCACGCTCTCACAGAATACCAGCGTGAAATAGTAGCTTAATGCTGCTGTATTTCGTATGGTGAGTGTAGAGAACCGGAGACCCTTTTTACTGGAAACGAGGCATTCCATCTTAGTCCTCACGGGTGACAACGCATCTGCATTTTGATTTTTAATGGAGGATAGATGTAGATGTCTATGGGCTACAGCAACCACTTACCATCAGGTGGACTGTGTGCTCGTTTGTCACCCTATTCTATAAAAAAATGTACTATAGAATTTGTTAACCTAGTAGCTGACATCCCTCACAAAAAAGAATTTTTCAAATTGTGACTAATTTGGCGTTTTTCCACAAACTTATTAGTAAACACATTTATAAACGAAAATTCACCATAAAACACCTTGCAACTATTAAAATTTACAAAAATGTATCATAAACTTATTCAAAACAGCATTTGTGAGATGCTAATTCCTAAAGTGTGTGTGTCTGTGTGTGTGTGTGTGTTTTAGTTGACCAATGGGTGCGTTTGGCAGAAAAAAGCGCTAGCAAGCGCTTATAAGCGCTGAAATAGTTTTCGGCCAGGACACGATTGCTACTTCAGTAGCGCTGACACAATCCGCCATTTTGCTTATTTAATTTGTTTGTTTTGAAGTAGAGTTTATAAGTTATTTTGTGCAATATTAGTTTTTAGTAATATAATGACATGAATAAACATATACATGTTATTAAAATTCATGATTGGTAAGTTTTTAATATGTATACTTTACAAACATATATTTAAATTAGGTTAGGTTCCCCGGTTAAAACTAACATCGTGTCCTGGAGGAAAATAGCTACTTACGATTTGACAGCGCTTACCGCTTACGATCGCCATTTTGCTTACAAGCGCTTGCTAGCGCTTTTTTCTGCCAAACGCACCCATTGATATTATCTTTTTAATTTATTATTCTAAGTACTTAGCGGTTAGCCGCCGTAACTTCTACATCACCTGAGGATGCCTCGTGTAGAGGCGAAACACGTGTTGTATTGTCGTCGATGGTGTGTCTTACCTGGGATAGTGGTGTTGGGAGTAGTGGTGCCTGGATTAGTGGTGACGGGATTAGTGCACGCAATTGAGGGAGGGCGGGAGGTGCTCTTCAAACTGGGTAAGACACATCATTTTATATAATTTAACGGATGGTTGCAATTGCAAAATAACTATTAATATCATTTATTATAATGGATTTCCGCAAAGTATCGCCTGATTCTATCAATTATAGTACAAGCTGTCGCAGCCAACTAGCTTTAGCCGTTCAATTAACAGCTCAGCTATTTTATATTTAACTAGGAGCCTGAATGATTTTCAGCCGCTGCGTCTAATACAACATTGCAACTATCTAACTATCTTGTAATATCAGCTACTAGGTTAGGGAGCGGCTGGGGTGGCCCTTGGACAAAGCTATTACTACGCCTCCGCTTTGGCACCGATGATTTCTGGATCTCCACAACAGCGCCACCTACCTAGTCCAAATGTGAATATAAACCATCAAAGGGACCCATTCAAAACACACAAAAAATTCATCAAAATTGATGTGGGCCATTTTCGAGTTTTGCGAGACTAACGGACAGCATTTGATTTTTATATACAGAGAAGAAAGAAGATAAGTAAAATAATTAATTAATATGTTCAGTCTCGTGTTTGCGTGCGTTAAGTTATTTAGGTTAAGTGTATAGATGATCTATATACTCCGCGCGATTACGCGTTGTGTCGTAGGCGCCTAGGGGTCGTAAACCATTGATTTATATATTACACTAGATAAATAATTACCGCGCCAAAGCGTTGCCACTGCACATATGGCCAAAGCCATATGCCTAGCTAACGTCAGTTCAGTGTTCAATGTGCTAACTTTTATACAAAATAATTAATTACTCTTATTTTATTTTATTCATGAATGATCTATTAAATATATTTTATTACCTATTTTATATTTTTTGATTTATTAGTACAATAAAAACACTTATAAAAAATATGTTTTATTTCAACAGTTATGCTAACTTCTATTCACCTGATAAGAAAATATACTTTTTTTAAATAAAAACAATTAACTGCAGATAATTGATAGAATCAGGCGTTACTTTGCGGAAATCCATTATAATAAAAAATAAAAATATAAATTTCTTTGCAACTTTCCGCTAAACTTGTTTAGCGGAAAGTTGCAAAGAAATTTATATTTTTATTTTTTAATTAACTGCAGCTTAAAAAAGACCTTTTTATTGCGTATTTTGGGTTAAATTTTATATAGTAAGCCACACCAACCCGCCGTTGCATATTCCGTGTGTCTCTCTTTATCTAATCTTAGCGATGGTATTGTTTTCGCAACTTGTGTAAGTGAGACAGATATATGTTTATTTAAAATGTTTAGTTATTTCAAAGCTACGTCGTCGCGGATGGATAGTGGTTACACTTTTTTCGACGCGCGGTAATGTGGTTTATTCCTCTAGTTTTGTATAACTCAATGTCGTAAACCGGGATCCTGAATCTCGAAAATACCGAGATACCGGACTGAAACGAAAGCTTTAAAATACCGGGATTGTAAGCGGAAACCGGTATTTTCGTTTTTTTCGGTATTTTATTATAAATATATGTTAAATAATATTATGTCAATAAAAAAATTAAAAATTGGGAAGACAAGTAGCACTTTTCTACCAGCGACGCTATGCTCATGGTAGAAGATGATGATTTTTATGATTCTGCTTCGGAATGTTATGGAGAAGATAACTATGACGAGGATTTTTATTTGACTGTGAGACCACAAAGATCAAATCAAGGAAAAGGAAACGAATTTATTTTCAAAGAATTAAACGAAATCTCAAAATCCCTATTCGAAAGGCGCTGATAGATTTAAATAGGGACCTGGAAATATCTGAAAATGAGTTCCAAACAGTGGTTGATCTCAGCAATGTATTCGAAATCATAAAAGCAACACTTGAAGAACTTTGCAAAGGTAACGCCAACCTGATGACGTCTGACGCGGCTTTGATGTTTATGCTCAAAAAAATTAGAAGGTGTCGGAGTAGTCATAATCCGATGAATCAAAATGTGATTTAGGATCATGCAAATAATTCAGAGTCAGCTCTTTAAAGATCGGAGAAGTTCACGAGAAACTGGTTCTTAATGCATAGTGCATGCCTAAATCACATTTTGATTCATCGGATTATGACTACTCCGACACCTTTCTATGGCCAAATGGCGACGAAATGCGAAAACATATTGCAGACCTTCATCAGCTTGGTCAGATTCAGGCTACGAAACGTACGATTGACGTTTCTGATTCCACTACAGACAGTTTAACAGTGGTAGAGCCACGCGGCAGCTTTGCTGTTGCACGTATGGGCCGGCTCAAACCGGGGTGGTACCACGACCTCACAGAATACCGGCGTGAAGTGAAAGCTCTGCTTCCGCGTTTCGTCTGTTGAGTGCAGGTGGCCGGAGTAGCGGAAGCGGAGCGGAATTAAGTGAAGATCTACCCCAGGAGGGTACCAGCACCCCTGGAGAATCCCTCGCTGAGCATCCACGACCAAGTTACTCCACTCCTGAGGGTGGGTGCTCAGGCTGCCTCGCGTATTCTGGGGGGGGGGACAAAATTCCGCTCAAGACTACAACTGCTCGGTGCAAACGGAGCAACAAGACCAAGGCGACCCCTGCCACGCTATCCGTGAATTTCTGCAATATCAGGGGACTTCACTCTACCTAAACGCCGTCCACTACCATCTCGAGACGGCGAGGCCGGCTCTGCTCTTTCTGACCGAGACGCAGGTGTCCTCTCCGGCTGATGTCTCGTATCTCTCCTGCCCCCGGGGTACAAACTGGAACACTCCTTTGTGCCTCGGGCTGGAGTTTGCGTTTACGTCAGTGAGGACATCTGTTCGCGACGCCTCGGTAGTCTTTAAGGTTCGGACCTGTCCATCCTTTGGCTACGCGTAAACAGCGATGACCATCCGCGCGTCTACGGGTGCCTCTATAGGTCCCATAGCGGTAATACCGAAACAGACCGATTCTTAGACCACTTCCAAATGGCTA